TCTGGCTTCTCAGTCAGCATGAAGGCTGTCCTTATTCTGGGGCTTCTCCTCCTTTCTGTCGCTGTCCAGGGCAAGACCTTTGAGAGGTGTGAGCTTGCCAGAACTCTGAAAAGACTTGGATTGGATGGCTATAGGGGAGTCAGCCTGGCAAACTGGATGTGTTTGGCCAAATGGGAAAGCAATTATAACACACAAGCTACAAACTACAATCCTGGAAGCCGAAGCACTGACTATGGGATATTTCAAATCAATAGCCGCTACTGGTGTAATGATGGCAAAACCCCAAGAGCACATAACGCCTGTGGCATGCCCTGCAGTGCGTTGCTGAAAGATGACATCACTGATGCTGTAACGTGTGCAAAGAGGGTTGTCAGGGATCCACAAGGCATTAGAGCATGGGTGGCATGGAGAAGTCACTGTCAAAACCAAGATCTCAGGACATATGTTCAGGGTTGCAGAGTGTAACTGTGGAGTTTTCTTTCTTCAGCTCATTGTCTCTTTTTCACATTAAGGAAGTAATAGTTGAGCGAAAGGTCATACTACCATTCTTTCAAACAAATAATGTTTTTACAGAAGCAGGAGCATATGGTCTTTCTTCTAAGAGGCTTAATGTTTACCTCATGTGTTTATTGTTTTATATTAGGCCTACAATATTTTTTGGTTTGCTAATAGAACTAATGCTGGTGAATATTTGTCTAAAATCTTAATTATCAAATATATGTCCAGTACATTCAGTTCTTAATCAAAGAAATAACCCAGACTTAATTTTGAATGATATAAGTACTCCCCAATATGCAATAAAAATATAACCAAAGAATATGTTTAAACAAATTGATCTTAGGCAAAATCCCACTTGTGTAGGCATGTGACACCTTCATCTGTTCTGTCATCTCCCAAAACAGTAAAAGATAACCACTCTTTGTTGGGCAATATAAAATTTTAAAAAGAGCAGAGTGCCAAGTGGCTAAAAATAAAAACAGCCTGAATTAAGAATTTTGTTTCCATAAAGTGTGACCTTTGATTTGAATGTTTTCTTAGAAATGTTGCATTTACACAGCTTTAAATATAAACTCACAATTTATATATCAATCTATCTTATCCCTTTTAAAGAACTCATTTATGCGTCTTGCTGGTCATGAAGGAATATAAAGAGGGATTAGATGACCTGTTGCTTTTCCTTAATTTTATTAAGTTAGATTCATGCATTATGACAAATTCAGAGGCAG